GCGAAAGGGCACATGATTCACAGTTTTCATTGTATTTCTGTTCCCCCCCTTATTTCTGCTCAGGCACCGTGTGTCACAATATAATCAAATACGATCATGGCCAACCTGTAAAACTGTTGGAAGTGTCTCTTAACCTCTCTCTCCATTCCTTCTCCATTGTTTCCTCGTTTTTGAGCCTAATCGCTCCCTCACTCTGCACTGGGCATTCACAATGTAATTATATATGATTTACAAACAGCTGCAGCCATAATGGTGTATAAACAAATTACAGAACCAGGGAGGAAAAACAACAGAGGAATAAAGAGATGAAGACGGAGAGAAATTGGCCCGCATCAGGCGCAGTCAGTGGTTTGGCTGTTTTTTGGCTCTCCCTTGGGCACAAAATGAGCATTCACGCTCAACATGCTTTACCCCTTCTGCAGGCAGATATTGAGTTGTCCGTATGCCAACGTTAAAAAGGAGTCTTCCTCTGTAATGCAGAGTGTCCTCGCTGCCGCTCTTCCTTCCTAATGTGATTGCTAGTATTCATTCTGAATTTCACAAGGATGCATAAGAGCCTGCTCAATTGACCCCCGAGGGCCTAGATGTTCTCTCTGTGATGGCCTGCAGCATGAAAAGCTCATTGCAGACTCTTTACATGATTGCAGTCATACTGATTAACATGTGATTGCCTGCTTTTCCTGAATATGATGTCATACTTACACATTCTCCAACCACGGCTCTGCAGGAAATACACTCAGCATTCCTTAAACCTGCACACGTGGAAGTGTTCGGGATGAATTGATAACCCCAAAGTCGGTACACCTTTTGTCCAAGAAACTTGCACAGCAAATTGCATGTGTAAATCCCAACAGAGAATAATGGTAATGCATGAGGCACACTGCATACTAAATCAAACACTTCCTGCAAACGTGGACATGTACATTATAAATTGCTCGGCAGCGCACGGGGAAGAAAGGTGTATGAATTAAAAGTTTACTGCTCCTAGGACACTGCCTGAGACGAGGAAGTGCTAAAGGGACAGTGTGATGCGATGACTATATTTAGCTCCTCATATTAATGATCCTTCAGAGTCCCGCACTATAAGCATCAGGAGTTGATGGCTTGATTTGTCAACTTAATCAGCCAAATGTAAAAAAAGAAACTGCGCAGAATGACATCAGGAGACATATTTTCATTTTTTCAGTCAGAGGATGGACATGGATTTATTGTTCAAGTGTGACTGGACTTGACTTGGAAGCAATTGGAGTGAATGTAGGGGTCACAGCAGATCGTAAATCATCTTGTTAAACTTGGTGATCCATAACACTGTACTGTCAGTGCCCTTTGAATTCCTAACCCCAATATATATATAGAAAGAGATAGTCCCATGGGTATATCCAGCCCACAAAGTAAACCTATAAAACATTCCAAATTGTTTGATCAGTCGGCAGCAAGACATGGGAAAGAAGGAACAAAACACACTTTTGCTACAAATGCTGCAATAAACCCAGTTAAAATGAAGGTATTAGACTTAATAAAAAACATCAGTACCAAAGATATGTATTTGGGTTAAACATATTCATCAAAGATGTTACATCAGAACATGTCAGTGTTCCCTTGCAGTAGGACATGTAACACATTTGAGGTGCTTGGGAACATACCGTTCTAAAAACCTGTATATCTTTCAGTAAAAATCAATAGGCCTGAGTCGCAGTCTAGACTCTAGGGGTAGACATCCATCAGATTTTCATCAAATGGTTCAAAGCCAGACATCTGAGCGTCAGAAAAACGTCACTTTCTGTTACAGCACTTTGCCATGGTGCTAGTAGGAGTAAGAAGCATGACTGCGTTGTAAGTTCAATTCAAAGCTCGAGTATTCGAGCAGACCATCTGATCCTACTGCAAGGAATTGGCTGTCAAACTTCTGAAAAGCAGAGATTCGTATCAGATCTTCCCCAGTAATCAGGTCACTGTTCACGCTTAAATTCCACCATTAATACGCATCACATATTATAGCCAAACTTCCATACTGTTGTTCGACTCTGCTGCTGTACCATTTACACAAACGGAACATTTGTAATCAGGTTGGGCTAAGAGGCTCCATCCATTAAGGCTTCATGTGAGTGCATATATTTAGCAGGTAGAACGCTCTTACAGCTCATGTGTCATTTATTCGGTCCTCTCCGGGCCTGAAGTGGAACATGGCCCAGGAACAGAAAGAAATAAATAAGTCGGTGTGTAAATATACACACATAAATTCACGCCAGTGCACTCTGAGATGGAAGGAAGGCACACACTAACTTTTTTTAATTAGATTAATAAATCAAGGAGGTGGCTGGATGTGACGGCTGTAGCCCAATGCCACTCCAGCAAGGACAAGCCGCTGAATATGGAGCATACTGACGTAACAACACCACCTCTGTGTGTGTTTGGGATGGTGTGTATGAGGCAAGATGGTTTGGGAAGCAATTCATCTGATGTGTTTTCCAAAAACTGCTTTCTCTCCAAAACGCTGAGGATGTGTCTGTTTGTTATGTGTGTGTATTTATGCTCCTATTCCCCTCACTGCATTCATCAGCAGTTGGTGTAGCAGTGGGTGGCCAATAAGGTGTTTGGACACCCCACCCCTCCTCTGCCCTGACCCCTTTCACAATCAAACCGAGCTCCCAGCTTTTCCTTCACACTCCAAATCCCTTCGTACCCCTCGCTGGTGTTTTTCCTTTATGTTTGACATGCTAATGAAGGTTTCCTGTCTGCTGGTTGGCAGCTGCTCCGCTACCTCAGCTCACATAACCAGCATCATTATTTCTCTTTTCTCTTTTTTCCCAACAGCAGAAATAATTTGAGGTGTTAATGATAACTCACTTCAGAAGTAAAGAATGGTGTGCATTAAGATGTGCATGCTACACTGCCTGCCTCCAAGCTGTTTGTTTGGTGGTACAGCAATATGCATAGTAAGCAGAACATGCACATTGTACACACACTGACTGCATTTATGTAAAGAAAGCAGGTTAGTGGGAAAAAACGCGTTAAGACAGGAGAATGAGTTCACATGAGCAGCATTAACTTGGTTACTTTAAACCCAGGTTTACGTACAGATGGTCAGCGATTCGATTTGTTTTCCGTCTTGTTTTTATCCAAGGCTGGCATATTTCAAGTGTATTAGTGATACATGAAGCTGCAGCTTGAAATGTTGTTGTTTTTTGTTCATAGCATTTGGACTGATGGCACAGTGAGAGGACAGACTGTGTGTGAGAGCACAGTGTTTCCCTGCTTTTTTCAAATGTAACAAATCTGCTGTTCAGCTGAGAAAACCGACATATTCATCTTAGTGGCATTTTTATATTGGGGTCATCTTTTATATGTAGCTGACATTTATCAGATAACATGGGAGAGAACCAGGAAGTGTATTCATTTCTTACATTCCTGACTTAATATGCAAATCTTCTCATTCACAGTCACATATAAATATATATATTTTTCAATAGAAAGTGGTCAATTTCTTCAATGTTTGGAGTAAAGGTCCCTCTCGTTACTCAGGAAAAACGTCTTTAATGTGATTTTACATCACAAAAGAAATAAAATAATATATTTCATATTTAACAACCCTTTAGGAACCAGTGCTGTGTACATGGCCAAGAAACTGGGTTTCCTTTCAGGTTGACTGTACGTTTTTATAGATATGTTTGATAAGATTTTATTTGAGCCTATACTCTACCCTCCCAATGTATAATTGAGTCTGGTTAGACATGCTCTATCACTGACAACCCTGGCTTCCCAAACAACCTCCTCCAGGTGGTAGATCAGTGAAAATGGCCTCTAAAAATAAAACATAACATTTCATGTGGAGCACTTTGCTAAACTAGCTGCAGTCATTTCTTCCGCACATTTCATACACTCATCCACAGCGACTTCAAATATCTGTTCATAAACATACTGTGCCATACACAAACAAGTATACCATACATATGACACAAACGTTGGGAAGTAACATACTTAGTGGCGCCACAATCATCTCCCTGATTGTAACTGATGGGTACAAATCGAGCTGCCACTTACCGCAGTCATTGACTCCATGGAGCACTGACTCTCTATCTGATTTCTCCAACCTCCACCATATCGACAGCCACAATCTCACCTTGAAGCCACCATAATGTGTCTGCCGTGCATGATATAATACAGGCCCATTTTATGCTGGATCCTGTTAGTCAAAGCTGTAATACTCCAGCAGGGTCAAAAGCATTAGCTGCATGGTGCTAAATGGCTTACAGCATGTCTGTTTGGTCTCAGTCTGTAAAGGTCAGTTTGGGTTTATTTGGGTTTGAAGTTGATTGTGACAAACAATTAGAGCTAAAGTATATCATCCTTAAATGTCATTGTCTTTTCTTCTTATCCCGAGGTAACACTTTATAAGCATTTTATGTTTGTGTGCCTGAAGAGCTGTGTGTAATTGTGTTCTTTGATTGTTTATATGAAAGTTAATTTACCCAAAGCAGTGATGTTGTTCAACTGAAACCAGGTGTTTTATTATAAACCATGCTGGAGCAGGCAATAAAGTAAATTCAGAACAATGCTAACTAGAAGCACTCCCAGTAATTGCAGCGCAGCTACTCATTTTTAGCCATGGATGTGTACTTATTGTCTTTAATTTGATTCCACTACTAATGTGTGCTTCCTCTATATTTAACAAGTTAGCTAAGTCTTTATTATTGTCTGGCCTTTTTTTTTTTACTTGCTCTGCCACAATTGCTGTATCTCTTTTAATTTCCCCGCTGTGGGAATAGTAAAGGAATTCTGAATCTGACCCCTCTGTTGCTTACAAAACGACATTTAAGACCAATTCTACACAAACACAGCTTAAAATATGTAACTTCTTCTCTATGGGCGTACACTGCTAATAGAGGCAAAACTGTAAACTTTTCAAAGTAAAATGAAAACAGCCAATAGTGATGTAATGAAATGCAACTTAAAGAAATAAACAAAAGCTGTTAGTCTAAGTGTGTCTGTGTGTTTCTCAGGGAGCCAGTTGGAGAGTCTGATGGAGACCATGAGAGCGGAGATTGCCGCCCAGCCGCCTGTGGAGGGGTCCTACGCCCCGCGCCGGGGGGATTACTGCATAGCCAAGTTTGCTGATGACGAGTGGTAAGCAAACATTTCATTATGCGTGATCATATTTAAGAGCTTAGTAAGACTTCAGCCCTTCAGCAAGAGGCTCTTTACTGAATCCTGAACATATCAAGCAGCTGCTCTCATGGCAACCAGTGTTGGGCTAGTTACTCAAAAATAAATAATGAGTTATAAGTAAGTTATTTTGCAAGCCAGTAATTGCTGTTGAACAGAAACAAAGTCCACAAGTGAGACACTTTACAGTTTGATTAGCTACATTTCCTTGAGACATATATGTATAATCGTGTTTCTCCCCTCAAGAACACCCGACGTTTCGTTTTACCTTGTCTCTTTCTGTGATGCGTTTGCTGCAGACAGCTACAGGTGGTAATTAGCTCTCTGTCTCTGCTTTGGCCTTTCAGCAGTGGCTTGACAGTTACACACACACACACACACACACACAGCGCACACCTCCTCATCATCTCCTCACCGGATGTTGGAAGTTTACAGATGGTCATGGGGACAGATAAAAGTCACAGTGATCGAGGGAGGGAGAGAGAGAGTCTGTGTCAAGAAGGTGACTGCAAAAAAAAGATCACAGAACTGATTAAAAACCAAATGTTCCCTCCACACAGGGGCTCTCCTTTCCCTCCTACATTCTTCCCTCTTATCTTCCTTGTCAGATTTTAACGGGGGGAAAATACATATTATGTTATACCGCTGTCCAAGCCACCGGTGCACATCAACGTATATTAACCTTCAGGTTCTTCAGTATGTTTTGTATAAAAACAATTGTATTCCTGTTACAGTAATCCCGCACCCAGTAGTAAACATCCACTTTTGTAGAGCAAGCTCATTATGTTCATATTCACATTGTTCTCAGTTCGTAGCTTTGTATTCTGTGATGCATGTGGAATGTGGGCTTGTTTCATTAGGGGCCTAATTAGAAACTCGTCGCCTTTTAAATCTTCTTAGAACACCAGAGTCGGAGTAAATAGAAAAGGAAAACCTCTGTTCATCAGTCACTAAAACACTGTCTCTTTCTCTTCCTCTCTGTGCGGTTCTTTATTACTCTTGTAAATCTCTGATTAGCTTTAATTTGTTCTCTCGTCTTTTACATTCTGCCCATATGGCCGTAATTATTTGCCATTATTGCTTCTCGGCCATTTTGTCGTCCCCTCTCTCGCCCATGTCAAGTAATGGTCAGATAAAGAAACACTTCCTGAACTATAGGAACACATACCCTTTTTTTTAGCTCGTATATGAATTCATGAGTATGGTTTAGCTCTCACACAGAGACTTTCTTTTATTTGTCACTGATCTGGAAATCCAGTTTATTTTCATTACATTCAGCCTATCGAATGTGCTGGAAAAAATCCAACCTTACGAAGTGAACATGTTGGGCTTTTGTGGTTATCACTAATGCACTGAAGTTATTTGCTACAAGGCAAAATGGGTCTAGATGTCTGTCCTTTATTGCAAAGAGGCCTCTTTTCCCAGCCCTGCCCCGTGCTGATAGATCCCCTCTGTCCCCGCTCACTCCCCCGGCCGGATCTTCCTCTCCCGCTCCTCCGACCCGATCACAACAGACAGGTCCTGTAACACCTTCTCCCCAGGGAAATAAGCACGGAATCATTTACTCATCTCCTTTTCCTCTTGTGCCCTCTGTCTTCATCTCCCTTTCCCTCTGTTCTCTCTCTCTCTCTCTCTCTCTCTCTCTCTCTCTCTCCCCCCCTTTCTGTCTGCCTCTCTCTCTCTCAATTATTCTATTTCTGCTGCAGGTACAGAGCCAGAGTGGAGAAAGTTGAGTCACCGGCAAAGGTTCATGTCTTCTACATTGACTACGGCAACGTGAGTAACCGTGACCACAAATTGAACTGTGCTAAAAGTGTTGCCTGTTGCATACTCATCATTAAAGCATAGTTCTGTTGTTTGTGACTCCAAACAAATCACAATGTTTAGAAACGGCCAAACCCACAGCCAGAGGCGCTCTCGCATCCAAAGAGGGATTTATTCTCTCGTTCTTTCATCTATTCAAACACCAGTTGTTTGCTTAACAGCCTTTATGTATCCTCTCAGTTGGAGTTTTTAGGACAAACATGATGCAGACTTGTTTGTGTATTCCCTTCATTGGTTATGAACGAAGAGCGTTTCCTTTTTATTCCTTCTTTTCATAACAATGACAAAAGCAGAAATCCCCCGCTCTCTAGTCATTTTATTCATTTTCTGTGATGACGAAGGCATTGCATCCTCGTGAGTGCGTTTTCGCGTGCGTTTCTGCCGACGTGCGTACACATGCTTGCATCACCAAGTGGCTCACTCAGCCAACCCCCGGCCTGCGAAGAGATGTCCCACGGGGCAGTGGAGCGGCACAGTGTGTGACTGACCTTAGAGCGGGGGACAGCTCCAGGTTTGGCTGGCAGACGCGATGTGTCCTGGCATGTTGCTGAAAGTGTGATTCTCCGAGGCCGACCTGGCGCACCGGAAAAAAAAAAACCGCCGCTGATATCCACCTCCTTCTCCGTGGTTTTACATCATTAAAGGTTGAGTCACTCCGGCCTTGATTTCATGCCTCTGTGTCACGAGCTATTAGTTGGTGATATTGCCACCCATCTCGGCTATAGGTCATTCCCTGAATTATGTCGTGATCATTAACAAACAGCACTTCTGCCTTTTATTTTTAAGGCCAGCATTTACAGTGCTGTCAAACTCAAATATGGCCTTGATCAATCTTATTCCATGATAAACATCCAAGGCCTTCTCTGTCTAGACTCTACAGTCCAATGAACACATTAACCTAATATATGGGGGGTCATTAAATTAACTCCCCATTCTAATGGCTGCATGTGTCTGACTTACCACCTGCATGTTCTCCCTTCAGGAAGCTTGCGGTGGTGCTCACATGGCTCACATCTGACAGGATGTTTTTTATGCTTCATATCAGGGAAATGTTGTAATTATTATTTTTTTTTGATATATAGCAATGTACAAACTTGCATTTAGCAGTAAAGGTGAAAATGTTGGTAGGCGTGTCAGCATGAATACAGAGACAAGAGCTCATGTTGATTATTGTACTGTACATCCAATCTTTATTTTAAATATGATTGTTAAAGGCGTGGAAAGATAATGATTTCATAAAATGTGATTCCTGTTATCATTGCATAATTAAACCTGGGTTATTGTCTCTCAGGAACACTTTAAAAAAAGTGTATTTGTAAGTTTGTAGTTATTGAATGAATATCAAGCATCATTGTATTCAAATGCACACTTGCAAGTAGTAGCTCTCTTTTTATGTTTTACTGCTTTAAGTGTGTTTTATGATCTGTCAAAGTCTGACTGGCAACTTGACATCCATTGTGGTCTTTACTCTTAGCTTGTAGCTGATCTACAGAGCAGATGGAGCTTAGTGAAGGGGCTTCATAATGCTGCAGAAACAGCTGTGAAATAATTGTTAAGGTGACATACAAGCATGAAGCCCTTAAGCTACAAGATGGCATATGTCCTTCTATCACAGTTGTAAACCATCATTGTTAAAGTGACACAAAGATGTCAGAATAGATTCAGAACCGAGGTAAAATAGAAACATGACGGAGTGCAGGATGGATTTACAGCCCGAGTGTGTGCTGTGTTTGATTTGAAGATGCCCTTCACTTGCAGAGGCACTTGATTTGTGAGATGCACTCTGTAATGTAAAGAAATCAGAATGTGAATTTTCATCCAGAAGTATTTGTTTTTCTTATTTGTATCCAAACTGAACAGACCTTGACATCTCTGTTGGCTTGCTTTGCTGCCGTCGCAGCAGGAGAGATGGATGTCTCTGTCATGTTTGCTTAGACAAAGTCATCATCACAGACATACACTCCAACTGTTGGAGCTTAACTTTACTATCTCAAAACCTCAGACATAAACCAAGAGTCAATCTTTTTTACCTTTTTAAAACAAGAATTCAATTACAGCTTCAATATTTGGTCTTGATAACACAGAAAAACAAATGCTGCTGTGTCAACGTATCATAGCACAGATAAACACCCTGAATGTCTTTACTGAGTGTGTTCTCTTTCCCCCCGCAGAGAGAAGTTGTGTCATCCACTCGTCTGGCTGCCATCCCCCCCGCCTTCAGCACCCGGACCCTGCCCGCACAGGCCACCGAGCACGCCCTCGCCTACATCCAGGTCCCGTTGGACGTAAGTCAAGTGCCGAGTAGAGATATGTGTCGCGGCTGAAGGCCTCAGAATTAACTTTTCGAGATATCAACGTCTTCAGTCTCATTTTCCGCTAGCATTTGAAAGTTGACTTTTCTGGCGAGACACATTGTCTGTTTGAGTTTGACTTATCGCACGAGGTGATAAGTCTGTAACTGACAGACAGGGACCAGTTTTCATTCCGAGCAAGAAAATTATGCTCATACATAATGCATGGAGTACAAGCAGTCGGAGCGAGGACCAACACTGAGCCATTGATTTACTTTGTTGCAAACAATTATAGAGTAATTAACATAGTAGCAGAGAGACATTAACGTTTCATGGACAATTTGATAAGGTACAGTATACAATATTTCTTCAATAACCCAGCCTGCCTGCCATCCTATAGATGCATACAAACAATCTAGGTACTTCATGGGGAAGTGTTTATGCATATACATGTCCATCTGATAGCCCAACAGCAGTTCCTATTTTTTTGCATCCTTAATCTTCTTGTTTACACAAGTGTGTTGACTCAACCTCCGGTGTGTGTGCTTGTCTCTGTGTGTGTGAGTGACTGTGTGTCAGAGGGTCAACTCATTGGAAGCCTCCTGAGCCGGCAGCATGAATAGTTTGCACAGATACAAACTGTTGATGTGTTTTTTAGGGACATGCCTGATTGGCACAGTACTAAGCCCTGTCTTAAATTGGTTGTGTGTTTGTGTGTGTGCGTGCATGTGTGTTACTTTAAAGAGTATGTGTTCTACCTAGCCTAGATAAGCATTAGGATGTTTGTTCCTAGAATTAAAGAGTCGTTTTCACAATGTACACGCTTGCTGCTGATTTGGATTATTTATCGACACTCAGTTTCCATTTTATCATGTACATCTATCTAAAGGTAATGCAATCTAATACAGCAGTCGTGCAATAAATCCTACCTTTATGAAGGTTATAGTGTTACTAGTGTTTAGAGAGACGTCAATTCAACTTTACGGGTAGTTTAGAGGCTGTTGTCGTAAATATGAGCCTGTTTTGTATTTGTTTTATTTATTTATTTTCCCTGAGCTGTAAGGACAAACAACTTAATAAAATATTCTCATTGCATTTTTAAAGATAAAAATTGTAATCACTAATTTTACGGTTCAGACTTGGTTAGGGTTAAGGTTAGGATAAGTCTCCAGGGTGTGTGTGTGTGTGTGTGTGTGTGTGTGTGTGTGTGTGTGTGTGTGTGTGTGTGTGTGTGTGTGTGTGTGTGTGTGTGTGTGTGTATACTAGTATATATGTGTGATTGTGTGTTGTGTGTGTGGTGTGTGTGTGTGTGTGTGTGTGTGTGTGTGTGTGTGTGTGTGTGTGGCCTGCATGCATGCTGTCACCTGTCTCAGGAGTCAGTGTCTCCTGAAGGATGAAGTGGCCCATCTGTTGGTCCAGCCCAGGGAACAAAGGCACCACCTACACTATACAGCCCCCAGACACACACACACACACACTCTGAAGCTTTCCCATGTGTTAGGGGTTGACATGCACCTTCCACCTTTCCTGCTCACTCTTTCTCTGTCACTCTGCATCTGTCTAATCTTTTTCCTGTTGTTTCTCTTTGCTCTTGGTTTTCCTTTTGATGTGTTTGCCGTGTGTTTTATCTGAAGCTTTTTAATGTGTCACTCGCGCTGACAGCACGGTGCCCCACTTGTGCTTCGCCTTTTGCTGCTGCACATAGAGAATGTTGCTGTCTTTGTGCCACAACCTGACACCTGATGCCCTTCACAAAATGTCTGTCTTCACAATGGCTTCTTTGAATCATCTTCCTCCACAATCCTGCCACTAGAACAAAATGATGCTGCTGTTTTCTAGTGAAATTTCATAATATCTTTTAAAGAAACGGCAGGTGCCTCTGTCAATGTTTTGTTGTTTTGGAGGAAAAAAACCTGAAAGGTGTGCCAGTAACTTGACAAAGCACAGAGCACACATCATCTCCATGACACCTGACTGTGGCAGTTACCTCTATCTGAGCCACTGCTACCACATTTTTAAAACTATTACTCCATTTTTATTAGGGATGTGAAGTCTCAGCTGCCTGCACTCAGGACTGACTGCCACCTCTTTATTGTCCCCGGTCAGCTAATTAAAGAAAGTAGTTTATGCCAAGAGTGCACTTGTAAAAAAAGATGAACAACAAAATAAATTCTTAAAAGTACCACGCTCAAAAGGTCCAGCCACACAATAGTCGGCTTTAAACAACTGGAAGTTAAAAGGTTGTTATAAGTAATGCGTCTCATTAGCTCATTAGCTAACTCATTAGCATGACTTAGTCACCGCCATATTACTTTCCTCTTCCTTTTTTTTGTCGTGCAAATAATCCACATATCAAGATTTTCTGGGAAAAGGAAAGATAACTAGAGAATGCAAAGTTTGAAACTACAGATCTACCCAGCCATTTCCATGTAAATAATTCAACTTATTGATATTGGATGAGCTATATTTTATATATATTTGTGAAGCATGACTTCATGAATGTGTCGTATGGCAAAGTTTTCTCATACTCAAAAGTTCTACACTTAATTCTTAAAAAAAGCATTTAAAAACAGTTATTAAAAAGCAAAGAGAATAAAATAAACATAAAACAAGCTAATATAGAATAACACCGGTATAAAATACATGAATAAAAGTTAGTGCGTATTGATATTTGATCAATAGGCTTCATTTCCCAGTTAATGACTGATTTCCTACAAAACAATATATACACATATTTGTTGGCTGAAATTGAGTAACTGTATTGGCTTCATTAAAAAAAGGAAGCAATACCTAACTGCACTTCCAATTACATTGAATAACAGTTGGTAAAATGCAAATATGTTGACCTGATTTAACACATTGGAGTGCTGTAACTGCACATATGGCGGACAACAGAGGGTCACTAGAAGGCTCTCATTAATTTTGTATCAGCGCCTCATGAGCGTCAAAGGATTCTTGTTCTGTTACACTGTCTCCCCGCGTCTGCTTCTTATCTCTCACCCTGTGTCTGCTCTCTATCTCTCCCTCTATCACACACTGCATCTCTCCCGCCCCGAGCTCCCCTGCAGCGCCTGTGACAAGTTGACCGGGGGGAGAGCGGGGACAAAAAAGGCCCTTAGTTTTGTGCCTTGAACAAGCTTCCCTGCCCACACACGCTCACACAAACACACACACACAAGACACACATATACCCAAGGGCGGCTAGCTCGAAGGGGGTTGCCATGGAGACAAGACCGGGGCGAGAAAGAAGGGAAGCGAAGAGATGGATGGTGTAGGGGAGGGATGGATGATGGCCAGGGACTGATTTTTGTTTTTAAGTGTCATCCTGCCTCTGAAAATGCAGCTCCCTTGTTTTTCTTGCTTTTCCGCCCAGACTGCTGGAGGACGTGGGGTCAGGATTGCATTTCAGCTCTTCCACCTCCTTCTCCACCATGTGTTCAATCAAAGGCTGGCCTTTCACTTTCTAGAAGGTTAGGAAGAAGAGAGAGCAAGGTAACTAACTGAAGAAAGGAGGAGGGTGAGGGAGGGTGAGAGTCAGAGCATTATACAGTTCAGCCAAACTCAAATCTCTCGAGATAGTTGATTGGATAATTGCCGTGCTACGTGACTGACTTTGTGAGTGATCATGTAATTGTAATCGACCTGAGAATGATGTTCGCCAATGTGTTCTTCCCGACAACGCAACCAAGTGAACATGTAAAGGCTTTCTCCCACTTTCTTAAAAGTTTGTTTCCCCCCAACAGAAATCCTGTTCCACAGTGAGGCTCATGCATTCATAAGAGGTTTTATCAGCTTCTGCATTGAATGCACTTGTGTGTTTGTATGCATATGAAAACATAGTAATCATCCCTTTCTCCCTCCCTTTCTCCTTCTATTTTCTTCTTTTGTCCTCCTTCTTTAAACCCCACTCCTGTGCTTCCCTCACCTCCTCTTTCTTCCTTACCCCCTCTTCTATCACCCCCTGCTTCCTCAGGAGGATGTCCGTGCGGACGTGGTGGACTGCGTTGTGCGGGACATCCAGAACAGCCAGTGCCTGATGAACGTGGAGTACTCGGGTGCCAGCTGCCCGCATGTCACCATACAGTTCGGAGACACTAAGGACGATGTGGGCCTGGGCCTGGTCAAGGAGGGCATGGTCATGGTGGACGTCCGCAAGGAGAAGCACCTGAAGAAGATGGTAAGTGATGAGATGGAGGAATGAAAAGCGGGCGATTGGGAGGCGTTCGTGGTAAATGAAGCAATTTCAATAGATCTATTGAAGACATACATATAAATTGGAGGCTTCTTGAGCTGATTCTCTCCGAGTCGATTGCTTGTTTTCACTTTTAGACAACCAATGACTCTCTATTTCCAAGTAAATGACAGTTAGGGTCTCACTGGGGCTGTAGACTAAGCAGTCGTGGTTAATTATATCACCAAATGACTGTGGTTACAGTGCAGATTTGGCTTTCTGTGTTCAGTGGATCCACATGCTGACCGACACTGATAGTTCTTTATAATAATTGTAAGATTGAACTGTGTTACTTTAATCTAGAAACAAGTCCAAATCGTATTCTTTCTTAGCTACTGAACAGTTGTTCATGCACCATGACAAAACACTGTATCATGTTGTAGTTGTTTTTTCACCCGATCCATGGCGAAGAGGAAAAAACATTCAAAAGTGCTTATAAACCTGAACGGATGCACCTTTTTTTCTCTCTGATATTGCCACATTGTGAACAATCTGTGTTGTAATAGTTAGTTTACGTTATCTGTCAACGGCACATACTGTTCCTGATTTGCTAAATATCACAGGTTCAATCATATACCATTATTATGCGTTCAAGCTCTATTTAATAACAAGAGTTAAGCCATCCCTACTCTTATGTGCATGAACTGCCTGTGTGAAATATTGCTTTTATTGAACAGTTAGGGATCCATACAGGAATGTCAGTTTCTGTACATTTTCTATTGATTCCCCAGCTCTACTCTCACTGTTGTGTGCATATGTCAAACAGAAAATCTCATCTCTCTTTCAAAATATGACTTATTATTATCCTCAACCTACTTCATGTTACTCAGTGCTGTCAAAATGCAGAGTATGGATCAATATTTGTGTCAGCGCTGTTCTAAATAGACAATGCCACCAATCAAACTAATGGTAGGATGTGATACATTTTTTAACAGCGCACTAAATGTTTATTATTGTCATCGGCAAATGGGCCCCTTGTGTATTATTTCATGTTAAAAGTGTCCATATCCCGCCTATGGCTCTCTAGCAGTCCTATAGCATGTATCCGCCCGGTCGTTTCCATCTCAGTTTGTCATGTATGGATCTCCTTTTATAAATGGAGGCTAGTATCACATTAAATGCCTGCAGGTTTTCAAATGTGAGCACTGACACACAATACCTCTCCACACTTGTCAATCCACTGCCGCACAATTAACACACCTCTACAATTTGCCTCAGATGGCAGCCATTTTGTCAAACCGTGAAGCGTCGCTCATTTACTTTCCTCTCATTATGCTTATTCTCCCAGCAGACTCAGCGCCACTCTGTCCATGAAAGATAAAGAAAAACGGAGGATATTTATTCCTGCTGCAATTACCGCTTACGCACAAGCCCAATGTTAGACACTCTGTTATTTTCGTTTAAAGTGCAATGCACAATGGAACGGACAGGTATGTCCACTAGAGTGTAATTGTTCATAAACATAATGAAAATATATATTCCTGTACATTAGAGGCTGGTGGCAGGAACACATTTGTTCTTCCACTCACACATGGCGATGTAGTTACTAACTCATTCTTGTTCACACCAATAAAAGCACTTGCCGCCTCTTTAGTTAGTCAATAAAGCACTGTGCATCATTGTAAGAGTGTTTTGACCCCTGACCTCTCAAGAGTAGCCAGGAACTATAATGCAGTCTCTGGGTAATGGACCCTATAGACAAAGGACAGTGATTAAAACCTTTCAGCCATACCACTAATAGGCTTATAGACTGTGCAGATTTAGGTTTTGTTGGATCAAATGGTTTCTATTTAGTATTCAACAGCTGCATCTCCAGCATTCGCCTCTCCCTCACTGGCTACTGACAAATGTTTTGATCTGGAGAAAGCTTAACAAGCAGCCGTGTTGCCAATGTGCTTACAAGTGACTGTTAAAGTAAGCTCTACAGCATTTCTTGTGGATCATTTAACCCATCAAGTCTACTTCCAAACTCAAAGACCAACAAGCCCAAGTGTGATTAGGCAACATTTCAAACGCGTAAATGTGTGTCTGATTTATAGAATGTGTGGGTTTAGCAGTTCTGGGGCCGTATTCACAAAGCATTTTATCTTACCGCTAGGAGTGCTCCTAACTCGCGCTAAAACATTTTACGTAGGAGTTTTTTCTTAAAGGTTATTCACAAAGCCGCTGAGACCTACTCATACTAAGGATAAATCACTAAGAGTGACGCGCCGTTGCTATGGATTACGTCGATTCTCGTGCATGAGTTTAGAAGCGGTCAGTACGGTGATTGGTTGTTCAGAGTAGGCGGTCTCGGTGAAACTCATCCGCAACATCCAACAAACGAGCCCACTAAATCACCGAAAAACAAGGAAATAGCCTAGGCTAGAAATGTATTCCTATCAAATAGTTATGGACAGTGCAGTTAGCAGAATACACGCATGATGACAAGTTTGTGCAGACCACGATAATGAGGTTGTATATGCACGTTAAAGAGAGAGAGCAAACGATAAAAATACGTAAATTGCATTAAATCAAGGAGGCAATTAAAAGCACCCCGTAAACTATTATCCAATGAGCATATTTCCAGCACTTAAACACTTTCAATAACAGCCCATACCGCCGTTCAAGTCCCCCTATCATGATGAATGAAAACAATCTGCGTGTTGATGGAATGTACTTTCTTTCTATTGACGAACACGTCCTCATCTTTTGATGGCGCAATTATTTTTATGTGCGTCCCGTCAATAGCACCGACCACACCGGGCATACCTGCAATTGCCATGAAGTTGGCTTTGATCCTGTGTAGTTGTTGATTGTCCAAAGGAAACCGGATAAACTGTTGGATGATATGTGGTCTAGAGAGCGCGTTGATGGTTTGGTTTATGGCACGGCTGACTGATGGTTGCGATATTCCTAAATCGTCGGCATTGCAAAGTTGCATTTTCCCTGTTGCTAAATATCGTAGTGTTCCCAAACATTTTATTTCCGGACTAATCGGGTTATTCCTGTTAGTCGGGGATGTTATTGCATCCCGCACTAATTCCACAACAAGTTTGATACCCTCACGATTTAGCCTATATCTCTTGATCAATTCACAGTCTTCCATTGTCTCCAAAACATTTCGTCTCGCAGCCATTTTCAGATTCTTTGTGAATAGGTCTTACTGAGTTAGGAGTCCTCTCGAGGACTTTTAAGCTCTCCTACACTTAGGTGCTACTTTTAGGCCTAAAATACTTTGTGAATTGCTCTTAGTGAATAAAATTAGGAGTCCTAAATTTAAGACTGACACGCCCATTATGTTTAGGAGTTTCTCCTAAATTCGCCAGTTAGGAGCTACTTTTAGCCCTAAGATCCTTTGTGAATACGGCCCCTGATGTATATAGTCACTACATTGCCCAGCGAGAAGTCCTCTACCTGAGCACTGATGTAGCTTACATGGTTCCCTTTCTGGTCTTTAAGGCTTTATTAGAGATGATAAAAGATTATTGACTCGATATGGATTAGTTGAGCCCTTGGAAAAGTCCAATATGTTGCAAGGGATTTACTCCCTCTGCCATTTTTTCAAACTTCATTTTAAAGAAATGTGTCAATATAGCTTTGAAATGCTGTTGTTTGTCTAGTTATGTATAATGTTTTGGATTTCTGGTCAATTGATACAAGACATTTCAAAAAATCACCCTGATATTTGGGAAATGACTTTGATGATTTTAACAAATCTGTCATTTTATAGACCAAATGATCCTGGTTGTTCAGAACAAAATGGGTAGAGAATGAAATTGCAGCCATAGCATGGACAGGGAATGTTTTGATGTTGTAAATCAAAACCATATGTTATTCTTTCAGTTTCACCCATCCCTATATGATATGCACCTTCAGACTCCTGCTTTCGATGAAGGCCTTTACATTTGACATATATTTGCTGTGAAATGTCCCTTTTTTTGTCATTTAAAGTAGATGTAGAGTCATTTGTTTGCAGGGTGCATCTCTCATGAACAGCGCTGCAGCTGCTGCTGGTGCCACACCAGAAAATGTTATCTCGCAGGGGCAGTGGAGCCAAGAAATGTTCCAAGAAACAACCTTTTGTTGACCTCTGGATCCGTGCCCCCATTCTCCCCCTCTTTTATAGAAAGTTCCCCCCCCGAGCCTTTGATAGTGTGCTATCCAAACCGGCTCTCCCTGAGCTCTTTCTTTCCTCCTTTCTCTCCTCTCACTCGTCCAGACTATCAGCCTCCTTGTAAGAGTGACTTTTGTCCTTCATATCTGTTCCATTTTGGCTCTATTCTTTATTCATTATCCATTCCAGGGGATTGGAACATGGTCATTGTAATCTGTACTCTCGCTCTAAGCATTGGGTAACAGATGGGCCCTAATATTCACTGGCACTTCAGTGACTATCAGTCATAAGTGCACTGAAGGTTAACACCAGTCTTTGAGGATGGCATTGTCCCAAGAGAAGGAGAGCAGAGAGGGATGTTCATCCATTTGGAGTTTTATGTCCTTTTTCTAGAGTATCTCTGCCTTTCAGCCCCCTTCACTGATGCTCACTATGTGCACCATATGGATGGATTTAGTTGCAGCTATACTACCACGGCATAGGATAAACAGTCGTTGGGAAAAGTGTAGGCGAAAAGAGGATCGTATGCACGCCAGCTGCTTGTATCCAATTTGAGGGAAGAGGGATATTAAAAGGGAGGCAGGAACTCAAAGAAAGAGGCTGATGGAAAATCAGTAAACCAAATTAACGATTGATAATCTGTTCTTAGTGAGGAGAAACTGACCGAGTGACCAAGAGCTGTCGGGTTAAAGTATATTTGACCTACATTTTAAATATATTTTGGGTTCAAGAGTAGATGACCCAAAAATGCAGATTAACATCGTGCATCGTGCACACACATACTGTATTTACACTTACAGTAGACAGATTTAATGTAGAGTTTAATCTGTTCTACATCTGGCATATCATG